GACCCCAGGCTTATCCCATTGATTTTTACTAGAAGCCAGGTTACTCTCAGTGTTTCCTTGTTTATGTTTCTTCAACCATTCAAAACAGTTTTTCTTGATATGACCAGGTTTATTGCAAAAGAAGCACTTCCTAGTGTCAGATTTTGTTTTATTATTCCCCTTCCATTTTTTCTTGTTTTTAGACCCCTGTTGGTACTGGTTAGTCTTTTGTATTTGACTGGATTCTGGCCTACCTTTTACAAACAGATTCCTCCCAGATCTTTTCTGAAACTTAAGCTCCAGTTCCCTAGCTTTAAGACCAGCAACTATTAAATCTAGCCTAGGCATTGTCTCTGAATACTGAAGAGCATTCTTTACAACTATATAATCTTCGGTTAACGAATTTAATAGGATCATTGCTAAGCTGGTGTCTCCTAGTTCCTGATCAGTTCCTTTAATAATTAAAGTCATCTTCAGGAATTCATCTAGGTTATCCTCAATTGATTTAGAATTATCTATTTTGTATGAAAATAAAGCACCTTTTAAAAACACAAGATTAGGAGCTGACTATAAAGAATAAAAGGTTTCGAGTTTACCCCATAGGACTATAGGAGTTTCTAGCCCGTCTACCTTTCGCAGGACATTGTCTGATAGATTCATCACTATAAGGTTGTACGCTTCCTCATTGATTTCATCCTTCTTCTTCAGTTTCTCTTCTAGCCATTTGGATGTGTCTTTCTCAAGGGCAATTCCCACCTTATTGTGGGACAGTAGTGCCTTCATCTTCTTTTTCCAACTCCCAAAATCTATCTTTCCATTGTATCGAGTGATTTCTAATGGTGTGGTTGACATATTTGAGTTAAACAATTGACTCTGTTTCAAGAAACCCTATTTGAAACCCTAGACCGAATTGACAACGGGATTCTTGAACGATTTGCTTAGACCCGAACCTAAATCTTCAAAGGATTTCTTCGATTGATGATTTGACCACTCAAATCTGTAAACTAAGACTCAAGATTACCAAGGGAAGCTCTAATTTGAAAAAGCCCCAGATTCTAGACAAACCCTAATTTTCTAGAAACCCTAGATCACTGGATAATCTCCAAATCAATCCAACCTATGCCTATTGGCTCTGATACTACTATTGTAATCAGCCAATAAACACAAACAAATCACCAGATCCACCAAACACAAAGATTCACACAAATCACCAACACAACAACACAAGATTTACCATGGTTTAATTATCCAAATTGGATAATCTACATCCACGTTGAGCTCCAGAAATGGAGAGCTCATGGCACTACTATTAGAACAAGATTCTCTCAGTACAGAATCAAACCAAATTACACCCTCTCGGATCTTACACAAGAATCAACCCGTAACTAAACCTAAGGACACTCACCAGGAATCTTCAAGACACTAGAGTATACAACACTCTCAGATTGACTAACGCTCACTAATCAATCTACCCAAGTTACAATGATTCTCAAAGAAGTGTAGAAAACCTAACCAAGAATAGATAACACGATTAGAAAAGAAACCCCCAAATCAGATATGCGCGAATGAATTATTCACCCCTCTTTTATACCATTGACCCTTTTGACAAGCCTCAACCGTTGGATCTGGACAATTTTGATGGTCAGGATTTTCAGCTTATTCTATCTTAAAACTCTGCGTTTCACTTAAGTACCAAAGTGATGTCGTTTTTCAATCTTCACTTTAACAAGCAATAACAATGACTTATCAATAAAATTTCTTAATGGTTCATTTTTTAGAAGCGTCTTTGTGGACTTGAGAGTTTCGTTCATGGATTGGAGTCACTACGCTAGAGAGTTTCCAGTGAGTTGCAACAATTGGTATCAAAACCTTCATTTGATAGTCTTCCTATCTTAAACACATCTCATACATCTAACTTATAAAATACATTAAACAAACTGCACCAACTTAGAATGTGCTATGTCTAACAAGTGGATATGTTAACTAACATTATGGGAAAGAGGATAAATAAGAAATCAAAGCTAGCAGAACTATATCACTTTCTTTTCACCAAACCCTCAAGTCGGATACCCTTTTCTTAACCTCCTTTATCTCATTCCAATTGAGTCAAAACGACATGGTTGCTTTTAGGTTTTGTTTTTGTTTAATTTACGCTTCATCTTCGATATGTGGCAAACCCTGGAAATTTAACAGATGTGACTGAATTCATTCAAGGTTTTCTAAAGATGAGGAGAAATTTCGTCGTGAGTAGAAGATTCTCTCAAATGCACCCCATCAAAATAGAAAAGTCTTCTCTGTACTAGCTTGAATCATTTGAGTGAACACAGACTAAATAATGGGTTAATTACGTAAGCCCTCAAGTTTAGTTGAATAACAATTTTTTCTCACTTGCACTAACAGCAAAAATTCTCTTACTGTTATCTTTTAGGTGTTAAAATAAATGTCATGAATATAATTTTAGTAAATATTTATAAACTTATAATAGGTGAACAATTCAATAACAGCTTGTTAAGAAAAGTAGGAGTTTTGTTATTTTTAAAAAACTTAGGAAGATTCTTGTATTTAACTAAACCTTAGGAGGTCAATCTAACCCCTAGATAATTATCAAAATAATAGATAGAGAAAGATTTAATGACTGTAGGATGTCAATTAAGTAAATAAATATTTATGAACTCTAGGTGTTAAATAACTGACTAACTTTTAATAATAGTAGAGAAATTTTTGTTGTTTTTAAAAATTCAGAGAAACTTTTATAGTTATGAAGACTTAAGTCTTATAAATTGAGTCTAGACTCTTTTATTAGCGATATAACATTATGGATCCAATACTTATAAATGACCATGAAGAAATCGTTGCTACTATTAGTCTGCAGGAAACAAGAAGTAACAGTATAAAGGAATGTTAAAAAAGATCATGTATTTTCTAATGTTATTCTTGTGAATTGGAGTATGGTCTTAGAAGCCATGAGGTGTCAACAAATGGTTGGATGTGTACAATTTTGGAATCCCATTATTGGAGATGATAATGAGGAAAAGGCCCACAGATGTTATGTTTGAGGGAGGTGTTAACCTTTCTAACTTTGCTAAAGTAGCCTTGCCTAACCGGGTGATGCACATTGAGGAACCAGTACTTCCAAATGTTGATGAAGAGATGACTGCTACTAACCATAGGCTGAAGGAAACGATAAACAACATTGGAAAGGAATGTCTCATTTCTATGGAGTTTTTGCTCTTTCATTTATATTATTTTTAGCCTATTCCTTTTACTAACCCTAGGGCTATGAAATTAATATCCTCATCAAAACTGCACTTTGATTAAACAAAAAGTTGAGAATACAACAAATGATCCTTGTTATATGTAATATGTTTCTCCATTAAGATGGATATTTTATGGATTTGTGCTTCTTTATATGCTTAACGTATTTTTAACCTTTTGTCGTGGAAATGGTTTAAGTATTACATGAGTAGTGTTATATTTTAGCCTTACCAATTTTCGTTCTAAGCCCCAATAACAATTTTTTAAGATGTATATATTTGTTTAAGTGTTGATTACCATAAGTGCATTTATTCTTTTAATACACCTATATATTAAAAATCTCTTTCTTTCTCAAACCCTAAAATGGAAGATGGAATCAAACAAGTTATCGATATCCCATTACCATTTCATGTTTTAGGGTTGCTTCTGTCAGTCATTAGATGAAGAATATAGGGTCTCTCTGTAATTTGTCCCCTGTTTCTCTTACACGATGTCGTTTTACTCTTATGACTATTGTTGTAAAACAACCATCTGCTTCAGCTCGTTACAAGTATAAAAGGCAAGCTATTGCCTCTGTAATTAATTACACAAAAAGGAAAACACTCTTTACTTGAGTATTCTTCGAATTTTCTCCAGAACTCTCCCATCTTCTTTTAAAGTTTTCACATGATCACACCAGCTGTAAACCAGATAGTCTTTCAAAAACTCAACCAACCAGCCTAGAGACATTGCCCTCTTGTCCACTTGTGGTTGATTTAACACCATCACAATTTCAAGTTCCAACATCAACATTATTACCTACCACATCAGTTCATAACCAACAACAACAACCAAATCAGACATCCTTAGCAACTAATCACTACACTCAAGAACATCAACCCAACCAGAACCAACCTTTCAGTATTCATCCCATGGTAACCCGAGCTAAGGCAACTGGTCAAATAACAACAGTCCTAATATCCTCCAAATCATCAGCCACCATACAACTAGAACCTACCTCTATACCTGAAGCTTTGGCTAGTGTTTATTGGAAGAATGCTATGCAAGATGAATTTGATGCACTTATAAGGAATAATACTTGGACTCTTGTTCCTACAACTCCTGATATGAACATTGTTGACAACAAGTGGGTTTTTAGAACCAAGTTTCATGCTGATGGCACTCTGCAAAAATATAAAGCTGGGTTGGTAGCCAAAGGGTTTCAACAAACCCCCGAGCTAGATTACTTTGAAACTTTTAGCCCGGTTATTAAACTTTGCACCATTCGCATCATCTTTACACTTGCTGTTTCTTATGGCTGGGACATACAACAAATTGATGTCAACAATGCCTTCCTGAATTGCACATTGAGTGAAACTATTTACATGGAATAACCTGCTGGGTTTGAGAGTTCAACATGTCCTTTACATGTTTGCAAGCTTAATAAAGCATTATATGGCCTTAAACAAGCCTCAAGGTCCTGGTTTGACAGATTAAAGTAAGCCTTGCTAGAAAAAAGTTTCCAAAATTCAGTTTCTGATTCTAGTTTTTTCATTCTCAAAGATGCAAGTCGGGTTTTGTATGTGCTTATCTATGTAGATGACATCTTGATCATCGGATCTAATAACTCTTTTATTACCAAGTTGGTTCATGATTTAAATAACCAATTTGCATTGGAAACCTTGTGGCTAGTTACCAATTTCTTGGGTTTGGAGGCTACAAGGACTAATGAAGGAATTCACTTGAGGCAATCCAAATACATAATAGATTTACTTGTCAAGACAAAAATGCAAGATGCTCATCCTTGCCCAATTCCCATGGCTATTGGGACTAAGCTTTCTGTTGCAAATAGTGAGTTGTTTAAGGCGTCTAGTCTTTATAGAAGCACCATTAGAGCATTACAATGCTTAACTTTAACAAGGCCTGACATTAGTTTTACAGTCAACAAACTAAGTCAATTCCTTCAAGCCCTAACAGAACTTCAATGGCAGGCTTGTAAACATGTGTTGAGGTATATCAAGGGCACCAAATTCCATGGCCTTATCTTCAAACCAGCAGCCTCTCTTTGTGTTGAATGCTATGCTAATGCTGATTGGGGTAGTAACTTGGATGATAAAAGATCCACAAGCGGGTATTGTGTGTTAGTCCTAATCTAGTTCAATGGAGTTCCCACAAGCAAAAGGTGGTTGCACTCTCATCTACTGAAGCTGAATACAGGGCCTTAGCACAAACAGCAACTGAATTGGCATGGTTGGGTAGTCTATTCTCTGAATTAGATGTGAAACTAAGCTTCATTCCTATAATTTGGTGTGATAATGTAAGTGCAGAAGCTTTAGCAGCCAATCCTGTCTTTCATGCTAGAACAAGGCATATAGAAAGATACACACTATATAAGAGATCAAGTGTTAGCCAAAAGAGTACTGGTGCAATATGTTCCATCTAAGTTGCAAATAGCTGATGTTTTGACAAAGGCTCTCTCAATTTCTTAATTTCAAGAACTTAAAAGAAAACTCACAGTGGTTGCAATAGAATTGAAGACTTAATTGCTATAGAGATGGCACCAAGCTCAATTCATTGATCTGAGACCTTAATCAGCTATTGAAATTGATATCAAGTTCAACTCACTGGTCTCAAAACACCTCTTGCTGCCATATTGCAAGTATTACACACTGCAATAGTGGTCTATGTAGTCTGCATATTTGCTGCTTTTATGTTAAAACTTAAGTTCAGTTCAGATCAGAGAATGCTCATGATTTTTTTTTTTTCATGTTTAAGTTCAAAAGTTGTCTTAGTTGAAATGTCATTACTTCTCAACCAATTCAAGAATGGTGCTCTGGAAAAGTTATGAGAAAAGAAAGTGAGAAGTAAGTAAATGAAACATGAGCAGCTAGTTGGAATAAACCAGTGGGTCTACGGGGGAATGTTAGTCAATTTTTCTTTTGACAAACCCGTGGCTTGGTCTACGGGGAAATGTCAGTTAGCTTTGGTATAAAAGCTCTGAACGTGAACACGAGTTGTTTAGTTTAAAGGGAAGTGTCAGTCATTAGATGAAGAATAGGGGTCTCTTTGTAATTTGCCCCCTGTTTCCCCTGTTTCTCTTACACGAGGTCGTTTTACTCTTATTACTATTGTTGTAAAACAGCTATCTGCTTCAGCTCGTTACAAGTATAAAAGGCGAGTTGTTGCCTCTGTAATTAATTACACAAAAAGGAAAACACTCTTTACTTGAGTATTCTTCGAATTTTCTCCAGAACTCTCCCCTCTTCTTTTGAAATTTTCACAGCTTCAAGAGATTCAATTCAACTCTTGTTTATACTTGCAAGTTAAACAATTGTTAAATTCCATTATTTTTTTAATACGTAGGAGAACACCCAAAACAAAAAAGAGAAAAAAATTACTAAATGAATGCATAAGGATACTTAAATTTAACCAAGGCAAAAAAAATAAAAAATAAAAAATAAGGTTACCAAAGATCTAGTAGAAATAAGTAGTAAAGAAGGACAACTGACTGAATTAAAGCTAGCCAAGCTGGCCCATTTCAGAATAAGAGACTTTATGGAAACTGGAATTTTCAAAGTTAATAGTTAAAATCAAATAATTTAATGCTCTCTATCATTTGATTCAATTTAGAACGTAAATTTATAATTAACATAGTTATAGTTTTCCTTAAATTATTGGCGTGGATATTGATAAAAGTGGTCATATTAATAAGTCACTCTTCACACAAATGATAAAAACTCCAACAAATTTGAATACAAATAACCAAATTTAATAGTGTTATGGCTATAATTCGTTGATCCATGAGTTTAGTGTTAAGACTTTGTTAGCTCTTGATCTTGATAACATTTAAAATGAAGAATAGAAAATAAATCCACTATATTTTAGATGGCTAAAGCCCACTTGATTGATGTCAGGTCATATTTTCTTCAGCATTAGACACCACTAAGATATCTTTAATAAAGTTATTTCCTGGAAGTCAAATCATTTTTTAGGTCCAAACAGTTGCAATAACGTTGAGTTTCACTAGCATTATAGTGTAGCACACCATTTATGACAGAGAGGTGAAGTTAGCTAATATAGAAACACTGGAAGGCAAGATCAAAGATCAGTAGCCATTCTGCTTTGAGAAATGAATACGTTGATATAGTTTCAATCTGTTTTTCCCTCTTGCATCACGGTGACACAATTTTAATACGATTTTCTCTTTTGCCACTTAATAGATGTAAGGTCATATAAGTAATTACCTCTTTTTTGAAATTGTTTGATTGCATTTCAAAAGTGTTTTTAGGATTTTAAATAAACTATTTCCCGGCTTACAAGGAGAAGCTCTAATTTATAAGCTTTTTTTTAACTTACCTAAAGTGTAAATTCCAAATTCTTCTATCCTTTTTGGTAAATTAATGTAAGATAGCTCTTTTACATTTTCCTGAACAAAATTTTAACAAAAACTCTATTCATATAAGCTCTACTCAATCTCTTTTTTCTTAAGCTCTAATAAAAAAGACCATACCAATAATTTAAGTAAATAACACTAATTAAAATAATTAAAAATTTAATAATGAATATTATATAATATAGTATATTTAATCAAATAATTAACAACACTAATGTCTAACGTTATAATACCAAGGAAGCAAATTGTGCCAATTGAGTGTATTCTCAGACTAAATAAAATTTTATTCTAATTCTAGGCCTGATTCTGTAAAAGAAGACCCAATAATAATAATTCTGGCCAAAAATTGGTCGAAAGCATGCGAGATGGGGTAAGAAACTCCCCAACTCGGCGATTCTCCCGCTTCCTCTACAATGTTGATTCTCTTGAAACACCAACCAAACACACACAATAAAATAGACAAAAAAGTAAATAAAGGACATTTGATTTACCTTGATTCGTTCCGATTAAGGAACTACGTTTAGCATTTGATAAGAGATTTTATTGAGTTTCAGAACTATGCGACAATTACAAATCAATAATTGACGACAGCTCACTCTCTCTCTATTTTCTTTTTGTAACCCTAAGTTTTTCACTATTACATTATATAATAGAAAAAACCCTACCTTATTTGGGCCTATCCGAATCTAATATGACCCAGACCCAAATATTAGAGTCAAATTATTAATTGGACTTACCGTGCGTCTGCGTAAGGTTCAAGAACATGCAATATATGAACTGTATCCAACAGATTCTCCTTCTTAAAGAGCCAGCGTCAAGTACCAATTAAATCACGACGCCAATTTATTTTTGGTTTGAAATGTGTGCTTAGTTTGTATTTTTTAATTTGAAGTTTCCTGTAAAAAGTTTTTGCATCTTTGTTTCTAGTTTCTTTTTGTTTACGTCTTGCCAGGGTGAATAATACGTTCATTATGGAGAGTTCAACTTCTCCAAGCATTATAATGAACCACAATACTAAAAAGTTTCCCGAAAATAAGTTGAGGACCCTATTTCCACTTGAAAGGTTGTTCTCTACATCCCATGTGTGTTAAAAATATTTTATATTTCTCATAATGTGGTCCATTTATTAATTTTATCATATAGTTATTTTGAAATAATTAAATTAATTAAAGGGCATGATGGTCATTTACTTTTAATGGAGAGGTTACTAAAGTTAATTAAATAACTGCAGTTTGGGAGTTTTTGAACTGCCATATAAAAGAGGTCTTCTCTCTCTATTCCTAAATTAATTCATTACGTATATTTTTCTTTATCCATCAAAAGAAGAGATTGATAATAAGGGAACAAAGGGAGAGATATACAGTGTCTTCTTTCACAATCTCATTTAAAGATTACACATGGATTTAGGTATGTCTTATTGGTTTTATAAATAGTGAAAATGCATCAAAGTTTCAGATTTTTGGGATTTAAGATTATGCAATTTTAGGGCATAGAAATATGATTATATTGTTGATTCTTTGCCATTCATGGAATTGATAAAATTGCTATTAAGATTGTTTTACATGTGGTATCAGAGCATTAGGTTTAGAAACTGATGTATTTTCCATTAAGTTGTTTTTTAATATATTAGGGTTCTTATAGGATGAAGAAATTGAATTGGGTTTTGGAAATTGAAAAATATAAAGAGCTGTTAAATTTGATTGGGTTTTGTAAATTTGATTGAGTTTGTGAATTTATTAAGTGGTTGGAAAGTTGGCCGAAATCAAATTTTCTCATGATGAAATGTGATTTTCCGGAATAGTTTTTCAATAAAAAAATTTCCAAAAATTCAGATTCCAAAATTTTTCCAGAAATTCGGGTCAAGTATTGACCCATATGTTGATCCAGCCCAATTTCCTTTAAAGTCTATTTGTTTTAGTTTACATAAACCCAAATAAAAGAAGCCCAAGCCATATTTATTTTTTAAGTGAGCCCAATTCAAACCCAAACCCAAACCCATTAAGAAAATTCAAACCCAAACCTATTAATAATAACCCATAAAGAAGCCCAACCCATTTAGTCAAAGGGGTAAACCCGATCCAGTCAACATTCAGATTGGTAAATGGGTCAAACCGCTCCAGACCATTGACTAAACGGTCAACCATCAAAGTTAATGGTCAACCATCAAATTTAACGGTCAACGGGTCGAATTGACCTAATTTTGACCTTGGATAGTATTATAGTTATTATTTAAGTTTAATACTATATTATATATAATTTGTTAGTCACCAAAGTGGCCAAATTAGAATGGTTATCCTATAGATATCAAACTAAGTTAGATTTAATTACTTATGATGGTTAGATGCCTTAAAGAGATGACATGATGTAGTTGATATGAGTAATTTGAAGTTCATAAATTATAGGATAGTTAAGGATCACCCAAAGGTAGATTAGTTAATCCTATAATTGTGAACATAACTGTGGTTAATTAATGTACTTGACTGTGTGTGTTTAGTATATCCAAAGATAACGAACATGTCTAACGAAAGAATATTTGATTACCAATTAAGAAAATTGCATCAATTAAGTTTAATTATCGTATATCATTATATCTCCCAAATGAGATTTTCAATATACATTTATGTTTTAATAATAATAATTTTTAATATCTGAACCTAAAATTATGTATTAGGTATAAAACTCAAAGCATTAATGTGTAAGCATAATTTTGTTTTTGCAGCATATGCTATTAATGCCTCATATATTGTTAAGTTTAATGGGTTCAATTATAATGAGTGGAGTGAGCAAGTCGAGTATTACTTGGGTATTCAGAATCTTGACCTTGCACTCATGACAAAGAAACCAATTGATCTCACTAAGAACAACACTGATGAGGAGAGGTCTTTCCATAAAGAATGGGAGAGATTGAATAGATTGAGCTTGAAGTTTTTACGGATGACAATGGCGAGTGAAATTAAGACTTCATTTCCTGCCACAGAATATGCTAAGGAATTTATGAGATTAGCCAAAGAGACTTCTCAGTCTGAGGCCGTTGACAAGTCTCGTACTGGGGCATTAATGAATAGGCTGACCACATGAAATATGATGTTTCTTGTAGCATATATGAGCATGTGATGAGATGTCAAATATAGCAGCAACAATTAGGAACATGGGAATGTCTATGGAAGAAAATTTCCTAATTCAGTTTATTATTACTCTTTACCTTCTCAATTTAGTCCATTTCAAATTAATTATAATATAATTAAAGATAAATAGACTATGATTGAGCTTCAAACTAAGCTAGTACAAGAGGAGGAAAGATTAAAGAAACAAGGAGTTCAATTAGTTAATCTTGTGGGCTTGTCCAGAGTTAAGAAGAAATCTAACAAGAAGTATGGAAAGGGCAAAAGGCCACTGAAGATTGAAGATTCTTCTGCCCAAATCCATAAGAAGGATAAGACTAAATAAAAGTGTCACTTCTATAAGAAAGTTGGACACTATATGAAGGACTGCCTTAAACGTAAGGCAGGGTTTGAAAAGAAAGGTAAGCCTAGTGCTTTTGTTGTGTGGAATCATATTTATTAGAATTTCCTTATAATACTTGGTGGATTGATTCTGGATGTACCACTCATATTTCTAAGAGACATTCCAGTATCTATATCTATATTTGAGTCATTCGGGGGTTTCTTTTATTAGTTTTAATAAAATCAAAATACATTCTCTATTGTATCCGTGTATCGATTATCCCTACGAAATACAATACATTCTCTATTGTATCTGTGTATCAGTTATCCCTACGAAATACCAGACGAAATAGAACAATCTTAGAAAAAATACAATGAAATTCTTTGATTAGTTGTTCGACAAACTGAATTGCACTCAGTCTAAATCCTAACTTGAGGAAAGGTTCGCCTATCTTAAGTATGGCAGGTGGAAAAAGGCATGAGGATGAGGAAAAAGGTATCAAGAGAGCCTTTTTCCTATGGGGAAGGAATCAAACGAAGCCAGACAAGTTTATTATCATGATATTAGACAGGCCGCAGGCAAAAAGAGAATGAAACCTAATACTAAGACAGACCTTGACTACGATTTAACTAAGCATCATCATCAGTGATACTCTGATGGATGGACCACAAGTTTTAGGCCTGCCCCCTTACGTTAAGTAAGGATCATACATTCCCTATCTCGAAAAAACTTTTTTTGAAAAACTACTTATTCGCAATCACTTCTTTCAATTTCGTATCAGCCGTTCATTTCGCAAGCGAGGCTGTAGGGGATTCACGCACGGGGCTATGGTCAGAACGAGTCCTTATGGTAGGAAGCCCAACAACATCATACCATTCTCAAGCTACTCCAGCCTAACCAAAGCATACTCTTTCGAAAGGTGCAAAAAGGTATGGGTACTTGAAGAATGACAATGCAATTCCCCTTTCATCACTCTCTATCCTCTTTCCCATACATTAATGTGTTCATTTCTAGGTCAGTCCTTCCTTGCCTCTTCCGGTAAGAAAAGATCATCGAAATACTATACAATAAGATAAGAGAAGTAGCCGCCTTTACTGGACTGTTGGATTATCCACATCAAGTCCTATTATAGTAGAATAAAAGGGAAAAGAAGAGACTTCATCACACAACACACCCGGGAGGCACTCGCTATAGGAATGAGAAGGCGAGATTAGCACGACTCAACTAAGTAAATCCGAAGAGTTAGTAAGTGCATAACTCTTTCTTCTCTCGTAAGTTAATTGAGGAAATCCTTTTCATAGATATACTATGTAGGGTTTCCTTATGACCCAAACCATAAACGACAATGAAAGATTTGTATACATGGAAAATCAGGTCAAAGCACGAGTTGAAGCTATTGGAACCTATCGTTTAATTTTAAGTACTAGACATCATTTAGATTTGTTTAATACTCTTTATGTATCGGAGTTATCGCGTAATTTAATATCTTTATCTAAACTTGATTTAGAAGGATATTCTTTTAAATTCAGGAATGGATGTTCCAGTTTATTTGAACATAATTGTTTAATTGGTTTTGGTGTGCGTTGTGATGGATTGTATAAATTACATCTTGATAGTTCATTTGCTGAGACATTGTTGACCCTGCATCATAGTATAAAAACAAAACGTGCTTCTGTGGATGAGAAATCTGCTTATTTATGGCATAAAAGTTTAGGCCATATATCAAAAGAAAGAATGCAAAGACTAATAAAGAATGAAGTTTTACCTGATTTGGATTTTACTAATCTTGGCATTTGTGTGGACTGTATTAAGGGAAAACAAACCACATCCATAATTAAGAAAGCAAGCACTAGAAGCACAAGACTCCTTGAACTAATACACATAGATATATGTGGTCCGTTCGATGTACCTTCTTTTAGTGGGGAAAGTTATTTTATCACTTTTATAGATTACTTTTCACGTTATGCATATGTTTATTTGTTGCGTGAGAAATCTCAATTTGTTAATATCCTAGAGGTATTCATTACTGAAGTTGAGAGGCAATTAAATAGAAAGATGAAAATAGTTCGATCAGATAGAGATGGTGAATATTATGGTAGATACAATGAATCTGGACAGTGTCCAGGTCCATTTGCTAAACTCTTGGAAAGTCAAGGCATATGTGCTCAATACACAATGCCAGGGACACCGCAACAAAATAGTGTTGCAAAAAGGCGTAACCGTACATTAATAGATATGGTTAGGAGTATGTTCAGTAACCCCTCGTTACCCTCATCATTGTGGATATATGCATTAAAGACTACTATATATTTATTAAACAGAGTTCCTAGTAAGGCAGTTCCAAATGCTCCTTTTGAACTATGGACAGGAAGAAAACCTAGTTTGAGGCACCTACATGTATGGGGTTGCCCGACAGAAGTCAGAATCTATAATCCACATGAAAAGAAGCTGGATTCAATAATGATTAGTGGATTTTTTATTGGTCATCCAGAAAAATCTAAAAGGTGTCGTTTTTACTGTCCTAATCATAGTACGAGAATAGTTGAAACTAGAAATGCATGGTTCATTGAGAATGGTGAAACTAGTGGGAGTGTTGAATCACATAAAGTGGATATTCAAGAAGTCAAGGTACAGGTTCCTGCGCCTATGACTTCTACTGAGGTTGTGGTTCTGGTGGTTGTTAAACATTCTGATAACAATCAAGAACAACAAATAATTGAGCAAACACTTCCTAATAATGTTGTAGTCAATGAACATATAATGGATGAACCACATGAAGTAGTAAATGAACAAAAATAAGTGACATTAAGAAGATCTTAAAGACAAATGAGATCTGCCATTACTAATGATTATGTGGTTTATCTTCAAGAGTCAGAATTTGACTTGGGAATGGAATCATATCCAATTTCGTTTTCACAAGCCCTTTGATGCATGGATTTTACAACATGCAATGTGTAGCAAGTGCACTTATCACAAAAAGTAATAAAGTGATAAGTAGAGTATCATTCCCATGAGGATTGCGTGTCAAATACTAATTTTCCTAATTCATATCAAGTTGAAGCAAACGAAAAATGGTTATTCGTTTCGAACTGCCTATGGACTAATAATCAGACTATTCCCCTTTTTGGGAGAACTGTCCTTATCTTTACTACTAAGCCCTCCTTCACTTTCCTCGTGCTTTAAGTTTTCTCTCATGTCAATCATAAATTCCATTAACATATTATAGTCTTCCTCATTTTTTGATGTCATATCGGCTACTGTCAGCATTATATTAGACAATTTCTCAAAAGGTTGTCCTTCAACATTGGTGCTCCACCTATTATAATTTATCCTGATTTTCGTTGGGCGTCTATTTATGTTTTTCCTCCCACGCCATAGAATGTACTTTTCTGGAACGTGTGAAACCCTTTCATGAATCAACACAATAATGGCATGCTTGCATAAAATCTCTCTGAACTTAAACAAATGACAATTACAACGAATATCACATGAACTTTCTTTGAAGTGTACCAGAAAGGGAACACGCCAATTACTATCTCCAAACCAAACATCTTCTAAAACTTGATACTCCTCATACGAATCAGACTTTTTCAAAAAAGATAATTCACAATAAATCTTTCCCCCAATCTCTTCTTAAAGCTCTTTAAATTTTGCAATTGTGTATCCATTTTGAAATTGTTTCTCAATAGGGTAATTAGTAATGCATGGTATCCAAGACTTGAAAGATCTAAAATCAGCCCCCCTTTCCTTTTCCATTTTATCTCGCAATGCATTATCATATTGTTCCACATATTGTTTCAATGTTGTTTTGGAATTTATGTATCCATCGAAAAATGCATGTATACTTTCACTACGTTGGATAGTAGACATACCTACCCAGGAAGTATCTTTAAGAAATGCAAGCACCTAACATACTCTTTCTTTGTACATTCCACATAACCATTCATTCTCGTGAAAGTTATACACATTAATGAATTTGTTCCACCATTCTTCAAACTCTTCACATGTCAATGAATCTAATGTAAACTTTATAGTTTCATATTCCTTATATCCTCTCAACTTCTCAGGCAGTTTCTTCATCATATGCCACAAACATCAACTATGTCTTGTACCAGGGAAAACAGTCTCAATTGCATTTTGCATGGCCTTATCTTGATCAATGACAATTCTATTAGGAGCAAAATCCATGCATTCAAGCCAAGAACGAAATAGTCATACAAATGTCTCAGTGTTCTCATGGGAAATTAACCCACAATCTAATAATGTCGAATGTCCATGATGATCATACCCCACAAAAGCAGTAAATGGCATATCATACTTGTTCGTCAGATACATTCTATTGAAGGTCACAACGCCATCGAATTCTTTATATGCAGCCTTATATCTAACATCAACCCATAGCACATTCTTTAATTGACTCTTTTCATCTACATCAATCATGTACCAAAAATTTTTATTCTCTTTTTGCATTTTCATAAAATACCCAAGTACTGCCGAAGCATCTCCAACTCCAAGTCGTAGCCTTTTAACTTTTTCAATATAATTCCTATAATCTTTTTGTAAAAAGGTCAAAATCTCTACACCTCTTGCCTCAATTGAACATGACTGAAAATTTTTACACGGTCTAATCCCAACCTGATCATTAACTTCAAGCCTCTTTTTCACAAAAGGTTGTATCGTTCGGTTTACCTTGAAATATCTTCTTTTCGTCGGACTTGTAAGATCATGGTTATGTTTAAGCACAACTTATTTAATTTCCCATTTGCATTCACCATTTAAAGCTGCACTAATCCGACTCTTACAATATGTTTTTGCAACAAGTTGCTTTTTCAAGGTATTTCTGGATTTACTTCTCTCCTTCCCAGAGTAAGAACATGCCACTGTCACGTATCTCATCTCCCCAGTAATACTTCACCAAACTATCAACTGAATCAAACACCATTCCAATATGAAGCTCCACTTCTTCCTCTACACATTCCATATCTTCTAATTCATTACATTCATTTTCTTGATTTAATGGTTTTATAATAAACAAAATTAGAATGTACTAATACAACACATCATAAGAAACAATACAACATATTTAAAATCATGTTAACAATAAAGTGAAAGTTTCGAACACAATTTACCTCAATATCATTGAAACGAGGCAAACTGGACTCTTCCATATTCCGTAATTTCATGCACAACTAATACCAGTTTTTGTGTTCATGAATCTAGTTCACAACAGTTGCCAAAAAATATTATCTATCAATTATTTTGTATTGTAACGTATATTCAATCCAAAATAGAATATGAAACTAAGTAAATATACAAAATAAGTCAAAAATTCTTTACCTTATGAGCTTTGAAATGTTTGAGTTCCTTATTTCCCTTTCAATGCTAAACGAGTATGTCTATCAAAAGAGGTGCCTTTCCTGTGAAAAAACTATAAACAGTTGTTGTTGTTTGGCTGTTGAGGAAGAAACCAGCTTCGAAGAGTAAGCAGAAGACAACAGGCAAACAAACGAGAAGAGAAGAAAAACAAATAAAAATGAAAGTTTTTTTCCCCTTATTTCACATAAAATTTTTGCGCTTGTTTGTAAAGCGTATCAGACAAGCTATTGATTTTTATTAAAAAAAAAGTAAAAAAAGAAAAAAAATTTAACAAAGTATGGACGTCAGTCCATCTAATTCAGACGGCCATCTACAATAGATGGACTAACGTCCATATTGTGTGCATTTTTATTTTGAAATTATGTGATTTTTTTTTTTTTGACAAAGTATGAATGCCAATCCATCTCATGCGGGTGATCGTCCCTATAAAAGGGACAGCCGTTCACAATAGATGGACTGTCGTCCATCTAGGGTGCTTATTTGGACGGTCGTCCACATAATTTGGACGCCCGCCCCCAGTATTTGGACAGGAGTCCATTGATTTTTAATTTATTTTTAAATATTTTTTCTGGACCCTCGTCCATTCCTGAATGAATGGTAGTCTAGAAAATATGAACGACCGTCCAAAAATGTTGGACGGCCATCCATTCATGAAAGTCTTGTATCTTGTCCTATGTGGTGACGTCCAAGTCAAGTGTCATGTATATCGGTGTAAAATTTCGGTACCAACTTTCGGTGTCTGTGGCATTGCTATTATATTATAGAAATGGTAGGGTATTATAGACCTTTCGACTTCTTTATTTTTCAAATAAAATGGAAAGGGACAATAAGATGATCTACTTACCGTGGGTGGTCTGATGAAACGGTAGAGAATTTTGAGTGTATTATCCAAAAGTTTTAAGTTTAATTATTCTCGATTATTAGTAGAGGTGACCATTGAAAAGTATACCCTACCCTTAATTTCAAGATTCTAGATTGACCCGTACACTCTCTATCTCAAAATAAATAAATAAATAAGACGATCTAAGAATATGTCTTCATCTTAATAACCTATTACTTATTAAATATACACTAATTATTCCATGCTATAAGTAATTTAGGAAAAATAAAATATTAAAAAATTTAAATTAAAAGTCAGTAATTTTATTTTTTCTTTTTCTAATAATAATTAGATCCGTTTGATCAGATTAAAAATTTTATTGGACAATCTAAAATTTATCGAGACGTATGACTATATGGGTATGCCAATACTTGCGCCATTTCATTAAAAAAGTAATAAAAATAAAAAATTGAATAATGAGACAAGTGAGGGCAAAGTGGTCCTTTCAGTTGAAAGAAAGGGTTTTATCAGGGCACGCTCCGCTTATATATTAGTCCTCTACTCTGAGTGGCGATAGATTTATCTAGGGTTTCATCTAAACCTCAATGAGATGAGCAGTCTTACGCCAAGGCGGCTCAGAGAGGAAGCCAGCGGACGCAAACACGATGTAGAAGTCGTCCGATTTCATGGTTAACTGAAAGTGATTTCAAGTGTTTCGTTCATTTTTCTTTTTTCTTTTTTGAGAAATTATGGTTTTAAAATAGATTTTGATATAGGGTGGATGATATGATAAAAATGGGGCTGGAGTTTGGCTCTTTGGCTAAAATCACCGTGCCTTAGTGATGAATGCAGCTCCCTATATCAACCCTTTTGACCAAAGTTCGCCCCGACTTAATATTTGTGTTTGTGGCGAATTCATTTGGTATGAATGGTACATATATATTGTTTTTGAATTATAGAATCGAGTAGTAATTCAGGCAGCCTCTTTGTAATGTAAAATGGCAAATGAGGTGTTAAACTGCTCGTAAATCAATTTGCTTATGCTCTTCAGATTTGCTGAGATTCGTCCTTGAAGCTGGTCTAGTAGGCATAAGCACATCTTTTTCATATCATATTAACTAAAGGTTTAAAGATGTTCAAAGGGGAATTTATTAATTGAATTGCAGTTCTGTATTTAATTTCTTCCATGAACCAGATAATTCAAATTATCTCAGCTTTATCATCAACCAAATTTCAGGATCTCTGACAAGATGGAGCTAAGCATTTGCAAACAACAGATCCAAGTAATTTGTGGTCATTATTACAGTAAAATTGACAAATGAGATGAGATGATACGCGAAGCAGTTGATGTTACAAATGGTGTGTTTGATACAAGGAACAGTCAAGCAGCCCTCTCCTCCGCATGGTGTGTTTGATGGGTTACAAAAACAGCCAAGCAGCCCTCTCCGCCTCTGGGCAGTACCTACGACTGCTTGCGAGCAGTCAGAATAATAAAATACAATCGCCACCTAATTTCATTTGAATAAATTACTAATCACCTAAATAGATTATTTTGGACCCTCGCAAATCATCAATTTTCATTTTATATTCAAATACTATCTGAATCATGCCTGTTCTTTAGCGTTGCCTCTAAAACTAGTTATTACAGCCCAATATATCCAACTTTGATGTTGCTATCTTTTGCAGAAAAATGGAAAACATTGATAGTTGAGAGTTTTTGAAGCTTTATAATACAGTAGTTGTGAATCCTATTCCTTGCTATACTTGATCACAAAACACCAACTTGCCTCCTTTCTTACACAAACCTTGTTCACCAACTGAATTAACAACTTTCCCATAACTATACTTGAGAGGCATTCTCCCCAACACTCTATGAAACTCCCTTATACACTTCCCTCTCCTCTTTCTGTGTTCCATTCCCCTACTACTCAATCCGACTGCACTTATTCTACTCCTCAATTTCCGCCCTCCATCTTTATCTTTATCTCCATCTCCATCATTTCTTGCATCCCCCCAATCTCTTACTCTCTCTGCCCCCACCATTACGGGTCCCGCGTTCGTTACATCAGCTACCACGAAATTCATCAGTATGTCCTCGCAGTTACGCATTTCGTCAACTATATTTCGCATCTCACTCATCTCCTTCCCACCTCCACAACTGTACTTAAACAAATAACTGCTCTTCAAAATCATGAATTTAGTTAAAATCATGGAGTACTTATCTGGATGCACCGTATAAATCCACTCTTTTCTGATCAAATCAATATCATGTGACCTCACGAACACCCCTATCAAACGCTCACTGTTCGATTGCCATACTCTGAAGGCAAATTCGAATGATTTAGGATCCATCTCCACGTCATCGTCGCAAATTAAGACGGCATGGGTCCCGATTGATGATCTGGGGAGGAACCGGGTGTTGAGGCTAGCGGATGGTTGGCGGTGCAGGGAGATTGATGCAGTGCCCAAGGAGGAGAATGAGAGATTGTGGGCCAATTGGGAGAGTGTTTGGGTTGGGGTGGAGGGGTTTCCCCAGAGGACTAGCACAGAGGACACCAGTGGGGACGCGGAGTACGTGGCGGCTATTGACTGAAGAAGAGGGATGCGATACTCTGAGTATCCGTTGATGAGAACCGTGATCTGGTGCCATCGAAGTGTTCGCAGGTCCCGCTGATTTGTGAGGTGGCATGGGTCCGACGATGAGAGTGTACGAACAGAAAGCACGGTATCATAAAGTGTTGCAGAAAACAGAAAGAAAAGAAAGCGTATCGGATTCATCCCCTCCCCTCCCCTCCCCGCGCGGTGCCGGTGGTGTTCTACTATGCTATACAATGACTAAATAAAAATAGCTGAATGGGGTGGCAGTTTCGTAAAACTGCGTTATTTTTTTCTTGTGGCAATTTTGAAATATTGTAGCGAAATGAGGTTCATTATTTGGGATTATGTGGATAATGGAAGGAGGGAGGGACTGAGTGGTTGTATCGTTAGGCGATGGTGAAGGCACTAGCAGTAGCTTCATCTTCCCCAGGCAGGATGAATTTTATGCGGATAATGCCGTCAAGTTCAAGGCCAAATTATTTGTTAAATTTAAAACTGAAACCCACTGGCGCAGCCCAGTGTGCACCAGCTCCACTTTCACAAGAGGTAACAAAACTTTTGATTTGATGAATCTTAATTTGTATGTCATCAGTCCTGGTTATTCTTACATATTTTCGGTTGAGTTGTATTGAAGGTTGATGTGGGGATAATATGTGAACCTTGCAATGGTAGAGGATGGTTGCTCTGTGATTTTTGTCAAGGGCAAAAAACCAATGTTAAAGCTCAAAATAATCGCATTTATCGTCGCTGTCCTTCTTGTAGAGCCGTAAGTGTCTGCCCCTATCAATTATTAATTGATATAATAAATTAATCTTTCAGAAACAAATCAAATCCAAGTACCCTTGTTTTGCTGCAGGTTGGATATGTTTTGTGTTCAAAGTGCAAAGTTTTCAAATGTGTGACCTTCCCAAATTATGATGATGGTGAGGATTTAGTCCTATAACTATCAGCCTATGTACTCTTGTCGTTGACATTCATTGTTTTCAGAAGCTCACATGCAGGTTTTCTTCTATTCCTTTGTGTAATTTTCCTCTCATGAGAATCAAGTTTCTCATAGAGGCATCAATGTAATGGTAATGTGCATATTGAGAGTAAAAAATTGGTTGAATACCTCACCATTCACATATAATTTGTTCCTTTATCGATGTAAAGAGAGTTACTGAATACGAGAGTTGAAAGGCTTTCATTTTTTGTGGACTTAATTAAATATTTTAGATAACTAAGTGGGCTGAACCAGGTGGGCCAAGGCCATGTTACAAAATTGTCCACTGTCTTATTTTCCTTCTTGAAAATTGTTATTCTCCGTATCAGAAAGGTGTTGGTCATAATTTGTGCATCTTTTCAGCCTTTGATTATGCTCCATTTATATTCATGTATATTTCACTAACCAGAGTATGTACTTCTGACCCTTCAATTTTTTACCTTAAAACCATTAGATAAGCAATAAATCTATTTTCTTTAGTTGCTTGAATTAGTTGTGTAGTGGAATATTTTTGTATGCAATTATACATACACCCTTGTGCAATTTACCTTTGTTTTCTGCTTACTCGATTTGTTCTTGTTCAAACTTGTTGCTTTGTGCTTATACACACCTAAAGTTTGTTTCCAGCGTCATGACATGAAGTATCAATCAGTTATTCTAGAATTATAAAAGCTCAATGTATATCCAAATACATGGAATATATAAATAGTTAAACCTGAATTTCATATTATTAAATTTCTGTAAAATTTTTTGGATGAATTTGTTTTGACCAAGCTTATACCTAATTTAGAATAGATTGCTTGTGCTCAATGTTTTTTGGTTCACCGGGGATTATTTTGCTTCACTATCTTGTCAGATCATTATTTTTAAAGTTTCTTTACCTTGTTTCAGATTAGGGTGTTCAGATTTGCATTTCTCAAACACATGGCTCTCCATTGAAATTTGTATCTATTTTTAATTTTTTTGTGGAATTAAATTTGTTCTTGTCGGTGAATGCTGATAAATTTCTTACAGCAAATGCCAGAAGGCTTCTAAAACCATATTTTTTTACTGTCTTTTAAGTTTTTCCTTTGCCTGATATACCTATCTTTCTAACTGACAACAATGGCCTTTGCTCCCAGAGGAAAGCCTCTGTGATCACTTTGGGTAGCATTGATTGGATCATCTAATTTGATGTTACCCCTTGTGCTTTCTGAGTCAGCAAACAACCTTTACTTTTTGTTACTTGCCATTTTCTCCAAAAAATATGGCAATGCTGTTTTGACTTGGAAAATCTGCACTTTCTTTAAAACCAGGATTTGGCAATCAATAGCATGATGGCCCATGTTACCTTATCCATCTAGTACAATACAACTTTACTTCATGAAGACTTTTTACACTTTGATATGCAAAAACGATAAGAAATTTATAAAAAGGAAAATCACATATCAATGTTATATTAGCTTACAGATGATATGTCGAAGAATTTCATTACTGGAGCTTCACTAAATGTTTGTGACAGTTATAGTAGATTTTCTTTTCAATATCCTAAAACTTCATAAAATCTTTATCAGCTGATGTAAAAAGAAAAAAGTTGTATTTCTTAATAACGTTGTTACTTTTTTCCTGCTAACTTGTGGCATACTTTTAACAAGTGGAAGTCCTAATTGGAATAGCATTAATCCTTTTCACTTTTGGCATTTGAGCTGGATCATACTCCTGTTAATTACATAGGAGAATGATAGGGGTATCCTTTCTGTTTTGCTTTTCTTCTCAGTATTGTCTGAATGGAGATGTGTTGGGTGAATAGATGCTATCCAGCAGACTGGCACTGGGTCTCACAAATTGACTGTTGCACTACATGGTTTCTGATTTAGTCCCTTAAAGAAACCAAAATGTCATTAATTTCTAAATCTAGGTGTACTGTAAGCATTTATGAATTCTGGATGCTTAGTGTATGAAAACTGTAAAGTTTGGCTTGTAATGCTTCTGTTTATTGAATCTAACTCTGGCCTTTTGACTTGGGAACATATTATGCACAAAATAATGTGGATAAACACCTCCTAGCGTTTGGTAGTTTAGAGAAGGTTGATGAGTCATGGTTAACATGTGATTCCAGTAGTTAGAAATCAATGGATGCATGTGCATTGATTGATCAAGCTTGAAATTGTCCTATTTAAATGCTTAGCGTTACTTGATCTGAGTGCAAATGGCTATAATATGATATTTTAATGCATTAGAATACCTTTGAAACATTTGTTTCCGTAATCAAACACATAGGATACTGTACTTGCTTATTGTAATTGCTAAAACATTTTTCTACCTCTCTCTCTCACTTTTTTTTTCCCCATCCTTTTAGTTTTGACGAAGTCAAGCACGTGTTTGCTTGTGATGCAATCACATATTATGAAATGTTGCACATTCACTATAGGACAACTCCATAGTAATTTATCTGTGCAGTACGCATTACTGAATCTGGCACACTTGTGCTTTAATGCATTTCATACATAGATTATTCTCAGAGCTAATGAAGTTGATGACTAAGGCCCCTATTATCAAGACAAAGTCATTTTATTGTCAATATTTGTGTTAAACATTTGTGTAGAAGTGATGTTTTCAGCCCTACTCTGCTATAAGTCAAAACATTTGTCCATGTGAATCATAATTCTATAGACTACAGCTTCTTCTTCGATCAGGGTATTTTGTCTTTTTATTTTGACGGAGGAAAATGTGTCTGTGTCCAATTACAAAGAGAAACTATACTTTCCAAAGACTGGCTGAAAAGGACATGAAAAAGACGTATTCCCCCACCTCAATCTTGAGAATTTAACAGGGATAAAGAAAAGAAAATAGAATAGAATATTTAAACAAATCATTTTGAAAGACTTGTTTGAATGATAGTTCAGTGGTTATGGTTTCTACATCACAATTAGTTAGGCTCATCATTTAGGCTATTTTGGATGGTAAGTTGGTACTAGAAGTTCTTTAAGTAATTATAATCCTCTTCCTTTTCTTTTAATATATTGTCTGTTAGTTGGTATTTTATTATTCTAGGCCAATGGGTGAGCACATCCTGATTCCTGAAATGAAATGCAGTTGGTAGGAGAACTTTGCATTAGTTTGATGCTGTTCTATCAATTTGATGCCTCTCATAATATGATAGAATTGAAAACGTAGGGGGCTGGTTTGACTTATAGAACATGTATATTCCTTTGCCCTGTCCAATTGCCTAACTATCTAGAATCCAGCAGATTTAGCCAAAATTGTGTTCAGGGAACTAGACCTGATCGCAATCATCTCTTCTGGATATTTACGGGTACCTTTATGCATTAAAGCTCTGTGTGAAAACTACATTTTGAGTTGAAGGTTCATAGGGCTGAATTGGGATAGGTAATAGAGTAGCTTTCTATCAAACAAAGTCGATCAAAGATTCATGTGGATTAAGGAATTCAGGCAGTGCTAGAAAGAGAGAAATAATGCAGGAGCAGAATATAAAGTTGTTTGTATCTTTAATTTCATTCATTCTCAAGCGGTTCTCTTACACTTCTACATCATCTTATTGATCATTCTCTATCTCTCATACATGGCCGCAATCAACAAAAGAAGTAAAAAAAAGAACAAAAAGTTCAATATGACTTAGAAGAGAAGGGGGGAAAAAAAAAAAACTATCTGCACATTGGACTTTGAGGATGAGGATGATGAGATGGAGTTAGTGGGCATTCTGATGAGCAATAACTCTTACTATCATCCACATTGAACCAGCATTCCTGCTCGAAGAACGTATCTTTCTTTTCCTCCACCAGCTTCACAATATTCTCGAAAACAGATACTTGACAAGGAATCCTGAGAACACCTGTTTGTTGAAACCCAAATTCCTCTTCAGCTTCTCTTAGTAAAATGTGAAATGCTTGATGACTCAAATACTCAGTTGGGATGATGAATCTCTTTAGTTCTTCTCCAACGCAAACAGCTAGATACCCTTTTGGGACAACATTGCTTGATGCTTCACGAACTGGGTTATCTGATAAGGATAGTGTCCTTTTCAGAAACTTGATGCTTTTACTTCCATTGTTATTACTATTGGTGTTGGTGTTGTTGATGGCGCTTGTTGTTTTTGATGAATTTGCAAGCTTTCTCCATTTCTTGAGGATCTGTTGAAGCCTAACGATATCTCTGATCTTGTTAGACTTCTTGGACTCCATGGCTTGAATTTGATTACCTGCAAATCTCTCTCCTTCACGATTGGTTGCTAATAATGCCAATGTCATAAGGGTGATTCCATTTTATAGAGAGGTTGAGGTGTTAGGGTTATAAAACTATTATAATAATAACAAAAATAATATTAAAGGAAAGGAAAAACCATGAGAGAAAGAGGTTGGGGTTTGAGTGGTTGCTTCTCTTGGTTGCATAAATTGTCAGTTACTGAGCTTATAAATCTGAGTCTCTCTCTTGGATTGCCAATAATGACACGTACTGAGATTCTAATAATAATAATAATTAATGAAGAGTTTAAATTAGAATTAGAATCCGTGAATGTGATTGCTTTAATTTCCAAAGCAAACTGCCCCAACAGTCAAGGTACCTCGTACAATTCAATCGTACTGTGTTCTGTATTTTAATATTTATCTTTCATGGTTAACTCTGAGGATGACCCAACTTACAATTTCAAGGGAACCCTATGTGAAAGTCTCATATCATTCTATTTTAAATTCATATTCACACTGTAGTAGGTTTGGGGTTCCATACAAAGCAATGGTGTCTGTCAGAATAAGCTTGAAAGAGGCTTCTTCTTTCATATTGCACAAAATTATCATAAGAAGAGCAAAAGAGGAGCGACTTAGGCCGAGGCTAAGGCAACCCACTTTGAGCTAGGGCTGTAAACGGCTCGACTCGGTAAAAGCTCGTTTAGAGCTAGGCTCGACTCGACTCGACTCGAACTTGGTTCATTAACCGAGTCGAGTTTGAACACAGTGAAGTTCAGCTCGTGGGGTCGCGAGCCTGGTCCGGCTCGAGTAAGCACTGTACACTTACACAGGGTGCTTTGGTGATTTTTTAAACGATTAGGTATTAAACTGATATTTTTCAATAAAAAAAGTTTTAAAAAAATGACAGTTTCCCCCTTCCCCCCCTCCCATCCCCCCCCCCACAGTGCGAATTCTTAAACACGATACACCAAAATCCCAAATCAATTTCATCCCAATCCCACTTGCCCTAAATGGCTAAATCCCAAATAGCAAACAAAGCAACCAAGCGAGACTTCAATGGGTCTGACGGCGACAGATCTGCGACGCAAATCTGATGAAGAAGACGTGGTTCACGGCGAAGAGTTGATAGCGAGTTTGGCGACAGCTCTGCGACGCAAATCTGATGAAGAAGACGTGGTTCATGGCGAAGAGTTGACGGCGACTGGGAGGTGTGTTGGTGTTGTCGACAAACCGTGGTGGAGATTGATAAAATTTTGGGGATTACGGCGACTGGGAGGTGTGGTTTACTAGTTTTAGGGATTAAAAAATCAGGAGGGTGTTTTGTCATTTTTTAAAATTTAAAAAATCAGGGGGGTGTTTTGTCATTTTTTAAAATTTAGGGATCAGGCTCGAGCTCGACTCGAACTCAACCGAGCTCAAGCTCGAGTCTCAATTATGAGGCTAGCCAGGCTTGAGCTCGAGCTCGACTCGAACTCAACCGAGCTCAAGCTCGAGTCTCAATTATGAGGCTAGCCAGGCTTGAGCTCGAGCTCGATACTGTTGTAAATGAGCCGAGCTCGATAAGCCAAAAGCTCGACTCGACTGGGCTCGTTTACAGCCCTACAATTTGAGCAACACTGTATACAAGGTGGGATAAGAGATAGATATGAAACCTTACTAAATAAGATGGATAAAATAATACGTAACGGTCGTAACTCTTTAAATCTTATAGATAAATCTACATAATGTAAAAATAGCTTAAGAAGAGGAAGAGGGCAGCTCATGGAATTGTTTAAGTAGAGATGGATTAATAGTTAATCCAGATGAGAAAGCAAAGGTAAGTTGGGTAAAATAACATGGGGTCATGTGATGCGATGTGACAATAACTTATTACATGTATAATGTATTATGATTTATGAATACAAAGTATATATATATATTACATAGATCATTCTTAGAGTATATGTACCCTATATGAATATGAATATAGATTTGACTATGATTATGATTATTCTGTTAATAGCTATGATTTGGGGAGAATTAATATTTAATTAACAAGGACAACGTGATCCGCACTTCGTTCTCTTAATTGTTTGAAGTTGAGACAAACTTTAACATGGAATAATTCCCAAATCCCAACTTTAATTTTACTTTCTTCATGATTTCCAGGTTCCATATTAATATTTGGATCATTCAGTGCTTCACATGTGCACCTTCAACATGGTATGTGTTTCCAAATGGACGGTTTGGGTTATAGTACTATAAAACCCAAAAGATTTGATTCGAAGAGTCAACCAATTGCATTATTATGCTACTTAAATAAATAATTATCATAATCCATAATTAGTTGGATAGGATTAATTGATGGGAATGAATTTTCTGAGAACTAACACTTTTTCTTTGGTTTAGTTGATAAACACTTGAATTATTGAGGTTCAGCCAGCAAAGAGCTTGAAAAAATAATGCTAAATTAGCTGTCTTGTATGATATAGTAAGCTGCTAAATGGATCAAAAGTTGGAGGCTAGAAATCATTGAATCTGACTTCCCATCTATAAAATTCTCTCTTTTCTCATTCTTCAACATTGGAGATGTCAATGGAATGGAATGGGAGCTCTATATCTTTGTGAAAGGGGATCTTCTAATTGTTATTAATTAAATTTTGGGTAAACATTATTTTAAGATGTTAGGTCTAAAAAGTTATCTTGATATCAACTCAACAAATGCCTAAAGGACAAATTGTACTTCCTGTTAAGCTCATATAGTCTCAAAGATATCTTATACCAATCCTATCTCATTTTAAGAGAAGAACGGATGAGAGTTGTTTATGTGTCAATACAACTTGCAAAACACTCATGACATTGACCTCAGAGGTGTATAAATTGACACTTCTCTTCACGAAAAGAGGAAGTTGGATATATGAGAGTTAGACATAGATTTGAGCTTTATTATTTCTTTCTGTAAAGCAAAGTATTTCTTCATCTTTGTATATTTTATGGACAATATCATAGAAATAGTTAGAGAACAATAAAATAACAGTGGATGTAGAATTTGCTTTAAACATCTGAACCACTATAAAAACCTCTCTTGTCAGTCTATTATTTATGTTTCTGCAACATATATAATATCAGTTCCATATTCAATTCTTATGGATCCATTATATGTTATTTTTAAGACCTTCTTAGTACTTTACAAATGCAAGTCGTTAATATCAAAATCGAATATCAACCTCCAGTAAGAAAACAAAAGGCAGGGTTTGGTTTGGTTTGACCTATAAGAAAACAATCATGTTCATGTGTCTCGATAACTCCACTTGGTGCGCCCCCTGAATGCCGCTTAGAGACCGGTTTGGTAATGGTTTAATAAATTAAGCATCAATTAATTTATGCTAGAATTTTGTGGGCTTACATTATGATGCATAACAAAATATAGGAAGGGCCTAAATTAATGGACCTATCAACTTTCTACATGATAAACAGCCTTTCTATGGGGGCTGGATTTGGCCCGATTGAACCATTACAACTGAGCTACTTTTACCGTAATAAACAGCCTTTCTATGTATAGAATTTCCGTCTCAAAGTTCTAAACCAGAAAAAACTTGTTCGGGATGATGATCTCTCAGTCTTACTAATCTATTTTATTTTGAGAGAATATCATAAACTACCCAAATAGTTGTTGAATTTATCATTGGGATGATAATTTTGACACTTTTTATCAAATAAACCCTCAAAGTTTGAAAATTTTTATTTTGTCCTTACTCTGTTATATTGTCATTTTAGTATTATAAGAAAGTGTTTTGTATACATAACAGCAATGTAACCGAATTAGGGCAAAAGGGTTTCAGTGATTTAAATTTTTTAAACTTTGAGGGTTCATTTCATAAGGCAATGAGGGTATTAGTGATATATTATTCAAAATTTTGAGAATCTATTTGTTTTGATAGAGAGTGCCAAAGTTGTTCTTCAAATGAGTAGTCCATAATATTCTCCAATTTTATTTTATTTATTTGATGAGTTCATCATCCAATTAAATGATAACACCTATTATTAAAATTAAAATCTCAAAAAAAAAAAAAAAAAGGGGATAACTAGGCTACGTTTGTTTCTCTATTCTATTCATATTCTACCCAAAATACATATTTGCTTCCCTATTCTCAAAATTCAATCATATTCTATTCAACTATTTTTAAACATCCTAAGTTTATTAATTTAGTTAAACACTCCCTATAATAAAATATTAAAAATTAACAAAAACACCCCTCGGCCACCCTCTAGCAGTGGTGGCCGACTACCTGTATTTAATGGGTGGGTGGATGTATTTTTGTTAATTTTCAATGTTTTATTCTAAAGGAAGTTTAGCTAAATTAACAAAGTTAAAGAGTGTTTTTGTTAATTTTTAAATCTTATCCTCGTAATAACAACTCAACTCAATTTTTTTTAAATAATACTCAAAATAATAAAACAAAGACGACCGATCTCATGTTAGAAGAAGGCTCAAAGTCAACTCAAGCTTAGCAGAGTAATCCTATAATAAGGTTCTGTAAATGGGATATGTCCAAGTGATATTATGAGTGAATGTCAAATCTGGATAAGAGAAAGAATATTCTGAAAATGGGTAAGAATATATTCAGAGCACTAAAACTTAATGGTCGAGTAATATTTTATACATGAGAAAATGGGTGGAGTGGAGTATATAGTATATGGTTCAATTTCCATGCCAAAATTAAATTGAAGTAGCTATAATAATCAATATTATTGACTTTGGTTATGTTAGGTTAGGTTAGGTGGTTAAGCACTAGAGGCAACATGGTCATATGTGGATCACATCACATAAGCCAATAAACTCATATAACTCTGCTGATCTGTTGGCCACCACTTTCAGCCAAAGCATGCTTGGCTCCTGTACCACCTCATTAACCATTAACCCCTTATTTCATTTAATTACATGATCTCCTTTGTTGGAAAATCTATGTATATGTTATCTGTAATTGTATTATTATATTATTTCTAGGTTTAAGGATGTTAATTGTATTATTATATTTAGGTT